AAGGGGGGGGGGGGTCTCTTTTTTTTTTAAGTTTTTTTTTAAGTAAAGATAAAACATTTTCACAGAAATCTACAAGTTCTGTTGCTGGTGCAAGGCTGTTTCTATTATGCAATTAGAAAGTGGGCATCAGTTGCAAATCCCATTTTAATCTCTTAGGACTTAGCATTAGCGCCAAAAAAAAAAAAAACCCTCTGTGTCATTCACAAGACTTGAGTCGTTTAAGCCCCAAAGACTTCATTCTGCAAAGTCAATAAGCAACACCAACTGGGCTGTTCATACCCCCTGGAAAGGAAGTCTTCCCTTTCCCTCTATTCAACAGTTGCAAAAGGGGAGGAGAGGAGAAAGGTTGACTCTGAAGAGCACTGAAGAGGGAAGGGAAAGGAGAAAGAGAGAGCTGGCGTTCTAGAAAGCAGATAATCTGGCAAACACAGCAGAAAATTGGAGGTTTCAAAGCAGGTCAACTCGACGATAGTACAGGAGGTAGGCTGTGCGCTCAGCAGACGGTTTTACCACCTGGTGTTGAGTAACTACTTTGACAGCTTGGTCATCTATGCGCAACCAGCCATTAAGACCAATCTGGAAGACATCTGTAGTATAGTGTCCACCAGTTGCACTGTTTCCATGATGGTAGACAACTGCCAAGAAATTAAATAAAAACGATTGTTAATGAAAAATGGGCAGGCAAAGCTGGACCAACAAGTTGCAAAAACAGCCAGTTTGTCTAAAAGCTGGTCCATCTCTGCAACCACCTCAGTATATTTATATGGAAGACTTCCAGAAACAGCAGCATGACTATTAACCCTCACCACTCCCAAACCTGGCATGAGCCAGAAGATTTCAAGAAGTGACCAGGGATGCACTGAGATATGTAAAAGCCACATCTTGCATCTTCTTCCTCTTTTGCCAAGTGAAATAAATCCTCACATCTCCCCGAAACTTCCTTTGTGTTTGCTAAAAGACTAGAGAAAACCATGGTGATTTCTTTAAATCATGTGGTGATTTTTCAGTGTTAGAAATGCAGAAAAAATTCTTATTATCACTTGCTTGGATAAGCTATCTCACAAACGAGGAACCATTATCCCTCTTCCAAACAATCCGTTTGGAGAGTTTGAGAGATATGACAGTCATTTTTTGTAGCAGCTGTGCAATCACCTAATTTGTGCAACAAAGAAATGATGGTTACAAATTTTAGAAATATCCTCCTCCTCAAACCATAAACCAAGCAACTCTCTCTCACAATCCATAGCCCAGCCTCTCCTGGCATAAGTTCAAAGTTCTAACTGCTAACATTACATTTTGCTACCACAAATGGGGAGTCCACAGTGATTTAATTAGTTTCCTTGATTTACAGAATAGGATCTGATTAAGAACTTGGATTCAGGCCCTGTAATTTCACAATTCCAGACTTCTGCTTATACAACAGCCAACTACTTTGAATTTAGGAGGGGAAAGAAGCCAAAATGATTTTTTTCAAAATTCTTTAGTCTGAAAGGTAAGACCACATACCTGCAAAGAGCCGGTAGGTTCTTTGGCCTTTAAAAATCTTACTTTTGACTCCTGGTGACAGCAACTCTGAAACAGCATACAAAGCACGCAGTGAATTATCACTTCTGGGATTACCAAAAAACTTCTGGTTTTTCCTTTTCACATGAATCAAGCAAGGAAGGGGAGCGCACCCAATAAAAGTATTAAGAGGACAGCTGACAGAGTCTGCTGACATGAGCTCTTCTATACCGCTGCAATGGCCCAAGAAATACAGTAATCCTTCCAAGGAAATTTTTAGCTGTTCTGCCCTTGAGAGAAGGGATAATGAGGAAATCCACCTTGCCCTACTTGTCCCATAAAATCAAAATCCAGAAGGGCTTGGTTTTGGCCAACATTTGGATAAGCAAAATGTTTGGGATTGATTTTGGTACAAAATAACTTTGTACACATGATGGTTGTCTCAGGTCTGAAACAATGTGTTTTTTGTTTCACGCACACCTTTAGAAACCACCTAATTTGGGGCATATGGGCAGAGGATACACTTTAGTAACAGAAAAGTTCCTTGGGAAGCACATGGAGGCTGTGGTTTGCTCACCTTTGAGCTAGGATTTCTCTCATACACACACTTATAATTTAGAAGGAGAGAAAAGTTTAAAGCTGATCATAAGTCACACTATTCAGGAAATACTAAAGATTATGGTTGTCAAAACAACACAAGTAAAGCGCTGCAGCAGTTTTATAATTCCAACAAAGGATTTTTCAACAGCTGAGGTATGGTAACTGTGGAACTTCTGCAAGGAAAATGTTTTATGAGAAACATTTAGAGATAGAGACTGATCATTAAAAAAAAGCTACACCAAATCAGTAAATGGTTGCGCTGTTCACAAAATTCACCTTTACTTATTTCCAGGTCAACAGGATATTCAATGTTTTTAATGAGCTTCTGGCACCCTCCTGTTTTTTCATAGACAAATCGCTTGAGGTGTAGAACAAGAACGGGAGGGAGCTCTTCCAACGTTACTCTTCGACTAATCTCTACCTGGCAGAGAGAAAAAAGAATTTTAACTGAACCTCCATTTCCACTGACAGAGTTCTTGAAATCAATCAAACTGGCAGCCAATACTTTACAATTATTATATTGATGGATTATATAGTTCTTTGTTTATATACTTGTTGATCCTTATGTTGCTATATAGAGCCCTTAACGACTGGGGTGGAGTTCAAATATGGCAACATAAATAAATAAGGAAGCAAGCTCAGTTTGTCATTTTCATACAAGTTTTTAAAAAAAAAACAAAAGGAAGCCTTCAGAAAGGAGACAGGAAGAGAAGCAAAATGTACTCCCCTCCAAAAAAACACACATAAATTTGAAACTTCCCCATTTACCCAAAAAACAAACAACAGCATGTACCCTTCTCAGATTTTTCAGACTCCTTAACTAGAATCATCTTTGTGCTGTACAACATTTTTGTAAGAAGCACCTAAAGAAAATTATGGATAAAATTATGGATAACTTTCTTGAAATTTCCTCCAAGACTTGTCAAACGGGAAAAAAAAGGTTACAGACATTCTGAATCTAAGCTGAGTTCAGAATTTGAGGCCAGCTGGTAAGCTTCCAAATCAGGACAAAGCAAGTTGTATTCCAGATTGCCCAGGACTGAAACAGTATCTTAAAGCTTGCAATTAGCCTCATTTTCATATAGGAATCACTCTTTCTTCCTGACACTGGCTAAAAATTATCACTGAGTCAGCTCATGGGAATTGGTTCGGTATTATATCCAGGACACTACATGCATGAACTTAAAACTATTTAATCAGTAATGTTAAGAATTGCTACAAAGTGCAAAAGATGACAGATATAATGTTCATGGTTATTTTAAGATTTTTTTTTAAATGATTATGAGATTTGTCCTCTCCTCTCAGACTGGACACTAACATATAAATCAGACTAGACTAGCACCTTAAGTGAACACCCTCTTTTCTAGAAGCCATAATTGAAACATTTGAGTTTACAAATAAAAGAGAAGACTAAAACCACATATGTAGCAAAACCCAAAAGCGAGTGCCAGGCCAAGCAAAATGTAGGTGGTAAACCCAAAAGAGTTGGAGGATTTCTTCCCATACAAGGAGGCCTCTCAGGCAATCAAGGGGATGTTCTCCCACCACCACCCCCACACGTGTCAGACATAAAATCCAGACAGACGATGTATGCCCACACATAATTTTGCAAGGCAACACACTTCTCACTCCGGTTTTTCCAGGCTGCATTCCCCCACTCCTGAATGCTTAAACAGTGTGGAAATGCCAACTCTTTTCTAGTGTGTGGTGCATCGCTCTGTTTACAAAGATTTTCTGTGCTTCCTGCATTAAGATTTTTTTAAAAAAATGATTATATTAATATTCCAACCTGCAGCAGTGGAAAAATACCACTAGACCTATAACAGGTCTATTAATTGTGCATTAATTTTATTAACAAAAGTAAGAAAGAAACAGGACATTTAATCTGGTGGTTGTTACAACAGGTTTCAGCAATACATTTCTAAGTCAACAATAGTAACCATTGGACCTCTTCACCAGATTACCGTCCACATAGACAATCACTGATATTTAAAAAAAAAAAAAAAAGCAACAGAATCAGCATTGTTTAGAAGAACGAACACAGGATTCATATTTCAGCTAGGGAAAAACAGTTGCACACAACTCTGGTAGCTTCCTGATACCAAGAAGAGGTCATCCAACAGAGAGTTGTGCGGTCTGCAAATGTCAGTGGGGCACTGCCCTACTTAGAAGGCATTAGCTGACCCTTTTCTGGCAATATGCATGAGGTATCAGCTTAAGCAAGCTTCAAACATTAATGTAAGAATACATAAAAGGGGCTGCAAGGTTATTTGGAGTTAAGCTCTGTTCCCAGAACATATGAGGATATGTTGCCAATACTCCCTTGCCAATGGTAGTCATCTTAAAATTGAGCCACAGTTTATTTGTCCAGTTTTTATTAAGATGGAGAGAGGAATCCTGGCTCCCATGCTGTGAAGCTTATACATACAGAAACGGTCCCATTCAGTTTCATGTTGATTCTGTGTATATGGTGGTATAACCACATGGAGCAAGAAGACTGAGCTATATGAATTTGCAGGCTCTTCAAAAGTTCGTAACTTAAACGTATGAAGATGGCTCTACAGACGTAGTGAGACACAGTCTCACAAATGGAATGGAGAGGAAACTGTACTTGGATTATGTTGCTACATACACAGGTTTTACATTCGGAGGATCGAATCCCTGGAGCCTCCAATTTCCAGCAGCGGTCTTGGGGAACTTGCTGCCTGCTGAAGTAATGTTTCTTTAAGCATGCTTTTATGCTGCTTCAATCATCTGACTCAAAGCAGTATACAATACTGAGCACGTTAAGCAAGTACTTCAGTTCAGCACAATGCCATCGGGGAGTATCTAGCCACAGTGAACAGCCACATCTTGAGTAAGCATTGCATTGGGTTGCGAGGATTTCACTACCCAGAAGGCACATACCTCTTGCTTAGTTTTCGTGGTATACCCCTGGACCGACTCTCTTGCCACCAAGCTTTCTAGGGCATCCTGAACAGTACGTATCTTATCAGACTGGATATCCAATTGCAGAGTGAAAAATGGCTGCAAAGTGGCAGATTCTTTCAAACTCTGTTGGTAAACCACAGACCTAAAGAAACGAGGAAGAGTTGAGAGTTGAGTTTCTGAAAGCTATTTAATTATTTAACCCTGGAAACACATTTATTCCTATTTTTCTAGAAATACAGTGTGATGCACATTAAAATGACTTGTAACTGAAACTACCCCAAAGCCTTTAAGTGATACAAACACCACAAGTGGACCAGCTGTTAAAACTAACATAGGAATTGGCTTTTCTATCTGGAAAGTCAAAATTTTTGGATTCACGGAAAGATGAAGTCAGACTTAATGCGCCTGTTAAAAGAAATGGGATGGAAAAAATGGGAAATTTGTCACTTGCTGACTATGCCTTGAAGACTACCGCTTCCTGCCTCCCCCTCCTCTTTAAAATTATAATTAAGAGGGAACAGAAACCATCAAGAGATGTACAGTACATTCCTCAAACCTAATTGATATTTCTGATTTATAGTCTATCAAAAGATTTCAGTATATCCAGATCCTCATGCTGAATGTGCTTAAGTTTGTGCATTAAATGTCAAACGTGAAACTTTGAACAAAACCAAGGTAATCCAGTTCAATAAAGTCCAGTGTCCCTTTAATACTGACACCTTTTCATACAGTGGCATCTTTATTTCATGGCAAGAAGCAACTCTTCCTTGGTTCATGTGAGGCCCTCATAATGGCACAGCTACTGTTTTTAAGAGGCAACTTGCTCCACCCATTCAGTTACATTAGTATCCTCTTTGTGACACTTTTACATCAAGAACTGACAGGCTATTTATTCAGGCAGAATAGGGTTCATTAGCCTTGAATAGCAGGGAGGCTGTAGCTGTTTCCAATCAGATTGTGTTTACCCTTACAGGAGCTCATGTTTTAAATTAGCATTTCAAGAAATGTTTTCACAAAGCATGTATAAGGGGTAATAAAAACCTACGGTGCCTGTGGTGTGTCATGCAGGTGGGCCTCACTTCAACGCTTCTTTAAAATGTGATACATTACAAACAAAGCCAAGCCATCACTTCACAAAACCGGAATCACTGTTTTTCTTTAGTTAGTGGATCAACCTGGCACCTAAACTTTTAAAAACAGAAGTCATCCCTCCCTACCAACCTAGTTCCATGCCTTTCTTTTAAAATCTGCAAATTTGTGGACTTATCCTGAAGAGAGTATAGAAGCTGCAACTGGTGTAGACTGTGGCTCTCACTACAGTGTTTACAGGAGCCTCTTATTCACAGCATATTACTCTAATACTGTTTCTACTTTCAGTTTAAAAGACTGTCCATTTCTCTGTATGAAAGTGTCTGGGCCCAAGACGTCTACAGAGTCAACTTTAAATTCCTACAAGTTTCTTCCTGTCCTTTGAGATCACTGAGACAGCACTGCTAAATATTCTACTGTCATCTAAAGTATGGCTGATGGCAAAAGGTCTTCTTGATAGATTCTGGAGCCTCCTCCCTTGGGAGGTTGATCTGGAAATTTAATTTAGCTTTTAAGCAATTAGTAAAGGTAGGATTGCATGGTGTGACCTTTAATAGGTGAGGGTTTACTCTACTGATTGTGTGTTCTTATAGATGCTGGATATGTTGTTTACTCCATATGGGTTTAATTCTATTATATAGCTGTTACTTAAAATGTATCCTAGCTATAGTCTCATTAGTGGAATCTCATGACTGACACCTTCTAAAAATATGTACTAATAGTCAGTAAGATGCTAAGAATTTGGTTGCAGATCCTTAGAATTCCCATTCAGTGAATTACAATTTTCACTTTTCTGAAGTTAGAGAGAAGGCAGATCAGTGTCTTTATACTGCAAATATGCTCTAAAAGAGTAAGTGGAAACAATGAAAGGGAAGGAGAGCAAGAAGACAGACATGCATTATTGCTGTTCTAAAAAAAATAAAAACAAAATTTAGGCTTCAAACTGCAGGTTAAAAAATGTATTCAAGGTTTGCTAAACTTTTAAGACAAATGCTACAAAATGTGCATCAGCAGCGTACTATCAAAGCCAATTGTTACTAAAGAAAATAAGAAACAGCTTCTCCTGCTGAGTGTGAGTGGCACAATCTTATGAAGAAATCCACAGAAGATACTAGACAGAAACCATCTTTTTTTTACTAGGCTATCTGCCCAGATTCAATTTTTGGCTTAAAATGAGAGAAAATGGATTAAATTCTGCATAATTCCCCATTTTCGTCACCTGGAACGGATTCTTACTCTACTAGTTTCTTAGGCAATAGATAAACTTGGGCTAGGACGTTGCTGCAGACCCCGTGCCATTAACACTATCTAAAATAAAATGATTTGTCCGTGGCTGGCTTCTCCCTTCATATACTTGCGGCTGTAAGGCAATTATGAAAGGTGTGGTAGCATGACAGGGGAATGGGTCCTCTCAAGATACACACGACCTAAATTGAGCCAGATGCCTATCCCCCACTGTGAAAAGCTCACAGGGCTTGACCTGAGGAACCAGCAGGATATGTACAGGCTTCACATGTGATCTAGAACTTTGTGCAGAGGAAACCCCATCCTTCCTCTGCCTAAAAGGCAGCAAGAGCAAGCAATAACGCGATACAGGGAAGAGACAGGGAAACCAGTCTGTTCTCCCACTTCATGCTCGAAGTTATCTGGGAGTCAGTTACCTTATACAGTGGGGCAAAAAAGTATTTAGTCAGCCACCAATTGTGCAAGTTCTCCCACTT